CCTAGGGAAAACATTCATTATTGGGTAAATATATAAGATTTTTTTGTTGTTGTTCTACAAGACACTATATATTTAAAAAAAACAGACAGGTGAAAGGTTAAGAAAAGAAATTTACAACATCTAAAACCAACAATGGAGAGCAGTTCTCCTGCGTTCCCTTACCCCACTGCTCCCTGACTGGGCGCCCATTTCCAGTAAAGTCTTTTGCTTTGTCAGCAAAAAGAAAAAAAAAAATAAAACCAACAATGGACTAATACCTAGACTCTACAAGGCAGTCTATGGAGCAAATCAACAAAAAAGGGGGAAAAGAAAAAACAGTAGAAAAATGGGCAAGGATAAAAGATATGAATAGACAGTTCCTAGAAACTCTTGTGGCCCACAATTATGTGAATATATGCTCAAACTCTCTAGTAATCATAGAAAGGAAAATTAAAACAACTATGAGATAATTGCTTTCCATCCAACAGTTTGGCAAAAATTAGAAGGCTGGACAATGCCAAGTGTTAGCACGAATTTATGAAATTAGAACGCTTATGCACTTCTGGTGGGAATCTGGGTTAGCACAGGAATTGTAAAGAACGCTTATGCACTTCTGGTGGGAATCTGGGTTAGCACAGGAATTGTAAAGAACAGTCTGCTAGTACTTGGTCGAGTTCAGTTCACATATACCCAATGACACAGAAATCCTCCTCAAATATTTATACGTTTTAAGAATGTGTATGTGTGTGTAAGCACACATATATAGGTACACATTACATATATATGTGTATTTTTTTAATGAAAATATTCATTGCAGCATTGTTTATGGTAGCTGAGAGATGAAGGCATCCTAGTTGTTCATCACTAGGGCAATGCATAAACACAACAGAGTGGGTATGCAGTATGGAATTCTAGCTACAAGCTGAACAACCATCCGGCAGTCTGTACACATTATAAACTCATGGTGCAGACTGGGGAAAAAGTCCCCATGAACAGAATGAGGTCTCATGCATAACACTATTCATGTAAATTAAAACACATGTCACAGGACTTCCCTGGCTGTCCAGTGGTTAAGACTCTGCACTTCCAATACAGGGGGCACAGGTTCGATCCCTGGTCAGGGAACTAAGATCCCACATGCCTCACGGCACTGCCAAACACACAGACACACACACACACACACACATCACATAAACAGTATAGCATCATTTACAAGGGGACATATTTACATATTTAATACATTAGAGGCATTGTGTAGGGCGGGGTGTAAAATTAAAATAAATAGGAATTCAAAAAAAAATTTTAAAGAAGCTAATTGCTCAGTTATAGATTTCGTCTCTCCCTCTCTCCTTCCAAGTTCCTGTCTTCCTCCATCCCTTCCTTCCTGTCATCCTCCGACAGATGTTAATCGGATGACAGAATGAACAAGATTCTGTATCAGGTGTCGTGGGGGAAATAAGGATGATTTCCACGTTGGCCTGGCCCTCAAGGACCTTAGGCAAGGTCAGGACACCAAAGCTTTAATAGCAATACTCAGTCCTAGAGTTAAAACTCACAGACACCTTCTTGTTCTGCTATAACATCAACACATGCTATTTCGATGTGCTAATTGCTCTTGAGGATGACAACAGTACTCAGTAAAATCATAAGCTATGTGACTAAGGCCAGAAGTGTCACATTGCTGTTTATTTCCTCATCAGGCTTGTCTGATGACACATAATCCATGGGGCTCAAATGCAAAGGCCTGTAGAGACCAGGAGGAAATACAAGGAAATGGAAAAAGAGGGTCAAATGTAAGACACTAGGGAGTGGTGGGGACTGTGGTGAACTGGAGCTCATATGCCTTGACCAGATTGGGCAGCCAGCTGATAGGTGCCATGCAGGAACCTGTCAATATGCTTCCATTCTTCAAGAGAAGCTGGAACTCTAGATTTTTATGTGAAATCACCTTGTTTTTAAATATTGGCAAATACTTCAAATATTTTTAAACCCTGAGGAGGAGGAAAAACAATTCATTTTATTTTTAACCGGATTTGGTCAGTTAGCTAACAATTTGCTGCCTTTAATACCCGTACTCATAGTGTCTGGATGTTTAGAGACCAATGTAATCTTTTACAACGTTGTTTATTTTTGAACCTTCAGTTATTTGCATATACCCAAAAGGATGAAGGGAGTGAGTTTGGATAAAATGCAAATTTCTGGCAGCTACAGTCAGAGAATAGGTTCAACGTCTGCTGTTTGCCAAGCTCCATACAATATGTTTTGACATATTAAAGTAAAGAGATACCAAGGCCTCTTTCTGGAGTGCCTTGTGGCATTTGGGGAAAGAGAAAACCCATGTAAACATGGGAACACTTAGGACCCAAATGTTCATCAGCTAACATAAAGACTTCAACACTGGAAGCTGATTTGTGTGGAATTTTCTCATCTGATTAAAAACTATATATAAAGTACTTCCTATATGCAAGTCCTGGGATAAGTGATTTCTTTCTTTGTTAAAAATTAAGTGTTTCAGACACACAGAGATGAAGAGTAACCCTCTGACCGCAGTACGCCCACCACCTTGCTTATAGACTAAAAAACAGGGGGTAGCAAACTTTTTCTGCCAGATATGAAATATTTTCAGCTTTGCAGGTCTCCATGGCAACTACTTTACTCAGAAGTTGCAGCGTGAAAGTAGCCACGAATGATACAGTAAACCACCACGCAGGGCTGTGTTCCGAGAAAACTTGACTAATGGACACTGAAATTTGAACTCCACATAATTTTCGCAGGCCGTGAAATGTTATCCTTCTTAGGATTTTGTTCAGCCATTTAAAAATGTGAAAGCCGCTCTTGGTTCATGGGTCACACAAAAACAGATGCTAAGCTGGATTTAGATGGGCCAGAGTTTGTGTCAACCTCTGAACGACATTGTTGCACAGCTGAAGCCCCAGGGTACCTCTCCCCATATTGCATCCCCCAGTGATCCCTAGCTAACCATTCTCTTGAAATGGGTGTCTATCATTCTTATACATACTGTTATCTTTTTATTGCTTATGTCTGTATCCCTGAAGAGTATATAATATTGATTTGTATATTTTGAATTTCACAGAAATGGTATCATACCTTGGGTACCCTTCTGTCTCATTGCCTGGTACTTTGTTTGGCAGTCTGTGCATGGTGCTGAGTGGAGCTCCAGAGCAGTCTTTTTCACTGTTGTGTTGTATTCCATTGTGTGACCATTCTGCCTGTATTCTTCATTCCTGTGGTAGTGAGTGGACATTTAGGTTGCTGCCTGCTAAGTCCTTTCCTTACAGATCACATCTCTTGTCATCTTCACCATGACCTTGTTAGGGAGATACTGATAATCCCCACCATCCGAATGAGAAAACTTTTGACTTAGAGCAGTTTGGTAACTTGGTCAAGGTACTGAGTACTGAAATGGAATTTGAATCCACAACCGTTTTACAGTAGAATCTGAGTTTATAACCATGTCACCATCAATCGGTACACTGTGTTCTGTTGGCATGGTGATAAACATATCCTGCCAAGGATGACCTTAGATACTGATTTGCAGTGATTAGACTTAACCTTTTGCTGAGGACAACTTGAATCAGTGGCACATGTTATTGGTTGTAGTTTAGTCCTTTGAAAATCACCATGTCCGATGTTGTGCGTGTTAACCAGAAACCTCACTCCCTATGTGTGACATATGGTATTTGTCTTTCTCTTTCTGACTTACTTCACTTAGAATGATAATCTCTAGGTCCATCCATGTTGCTGCAAATGGCGCTATTTCATTCTTTTTTTATGGCTGAGTAGTATTCCATTGTATATATGTACCACATCTTCTTTATCCATTCGTCTGTTGATGAACATTTAGGTTGTTTCTATGGCTTGGCTATCGTAAACAGTGCTGCAGTGAATGTTGGGGTGCATGTATCTTTTAGAAACAGACTCACAGACATAGAAAACAGACTTGTGGTTGCCATGGGGGAGGGAGGGATTGGGAGTTTGGGATTCGCAGATGCAAAGTACTGTACATAGAATGGATAAACAACAAGGTTCTATTGTATAGCACAGTCTATTAAATATTAAATTATATTAATATTAAAGCATATTTAACATCCTGTGATAAACCATAATGGAAAAGAATATGAAAAAGAATGTGTGTGTGTGTGTGTGTATATATATATATATATATGTATAACTGAATCACTTTGCTGTGCAGCAGAAACTGATACAACATTGTAAATCAACTATATTTCAATAAAATAAATTAAAAAAAAAAAAAGAAACCTCATTCCCTGACCACAGTGGGTAGGAATTTAGGAGGAATAAGTACTGACATAGCACAAGAGTTGGAAAAGTTTTCAATGAAAAAAGAGAATGACCCAGGAGATTTGTCCCTCTTCTTTCCTGCTCCTGCCCACAATAGCATTGATCAAGGTCATGGGTGCTTCAGGAGCTAGTGTGTTCTTTCTTGGTAGGGACCGCAGTGCTGGGCTGTGGGACTCTGCTGCCTAGAGGGACTTTTTAAGTTTCGATGACACCTTTTGAGCCCTTGTCCATCTGTACAAGTGACACCGTGTAACACCATGTCCATTCTCTCTTAACTACAGTCAACTCCACCTTCTCTTCATGCCTCTGGCTTCTAGGAACCCAATCCTCTCCCTCTCTACCTGTTTCTCCCTTCCTCTACTGGAAAGTCTCCCTGGCTCGCTCCAGCTCGTTCAGATGACATTTAAAAGAGACCCAAATAAAATTTGTCTAATGACAAAATACAATGGGAAGGAGGGGAAAGTTTTAATCAAGTGGGTGTATTCTCCAGAGGGGAGCAAGCACTTCATTTCAATTCCTCATTTCCCTTTGATGGAAAGTTTAGTGAATTTTTATGATGTGGAATTTATAAGATGGCTGGGTTTAGGTAATCAGCTTTAATATTTATACTCCTAGGGAAAGCAATAGGAATCATTAGCAAGCATGCATAATTAATGAATAAATTATATTTCCCTTTGTTTTCTTTCAGGTACAAGGAAATGCTAGAACTAGTGATCTCTCCCAGCCTTACTGTAAACAGCGATCGTCCGGGTAAACTGAAGGTTAACTGTGCCGACGCTGATGTCTGGACTCTGAGTGACATAGAAGGTAGGCCTCCTGCTGTGCGTTTTGGTGGGCCCTGTGGTGATCCCCGCTCGCCCCACGGAATATGGTAAGGGACGGATAGCCTTTGGCACACATCCTCTCACAAGTACTGTCGTTATGACAATTTCTCCTCCCACCCAATTAGATTGTTGACTCTGGACCAAAACTTTCGCGTACGTTGCTAACAATTTTGTCATTAGAGGTAAAAGTGTGCTCGTTCCTGTTCTGAACGTCCCGTCTCGGTCTCCAGTTCCAAGAAATGCTGACACCTCCATAGACGCTAGTCAGTTTTGGGTGTATTCCAGGCCCAGGCCCCAGGCATGCCCTACAGGCTCTGGGGCTGGACCTCTGAGTTCTCTCCTGCCATCGCCACATCCAAGCAGGCGTCTTGTTTATGGGGGTTTGACGTTGGGACAAGAACTCATCTGCCTTTTGCTTTCAGGTTGGGTTGCAGTCAAGGAAGCAGAGGAGAGTTAAGCTGTTTAAAAAACTATTGGCAAATGATGCAGTCAGACTAGTTTTCACTAGACAATTCCAGCTATTGTTTGCACTGTTTGTGATCTGTCAGCCTTCCTGGTAGAGCGCAGAGTTACTTAGCAAAAGGCATTAAGCTATTATGTTTAACCATTGGGCTTAACCCTTTGTTTGAGCAGCTTTGGGATTTGCTGTTGGTGTTCCGAAACTCCCAGCTGTCTCTCCTTCACTGTCTGTGTTTGATGCGAGCTTATGGGGGCACAGTGCTATGTAATTGTCATGGAAAACCAAAGAGACGTGAGTCTGGTTGAATATAACATCAGAAGGAGTTTGCTTTTAAGCAACTCCAGGCTCTTGGGAATAATTACTGCCGTCACCAAGATAGCAGTAATAATGTCTTGTGTGCTGGTCATGAAGCTGGAACAGCCCTGCTAAAAATACCATCAAGAGGGTCTGGGCGCCTGTGACCAGAACACTCTCGTTCCTACTTATCCTTTGGAGCGTCTGTGTAAGCCACCCTGGGTTCTTTGAGAGTTTGAGATAATTTATTGAGCCCTATTCAAAGACAGTCATCCTTTTCCTTCTGAGTGAAGGCGCCAGTCAACTACAGACTCTTCATTTCAGAGCCAGTAGAGACAGGAAAAGGCATAGACTGCCGAGGGAGGAAGATCCCAGGCTGACTCCCAACCCCACTGCTTCCCAGCCAAATGATCTTGGGCAGATTGTTTAACCTTCCTGAGCCTCAACTTTCTCACCTGCCAAATGGGGGCAGAATCATGACACTTCATAGGATGCTTACTGCAAGGATCAAATGGGGTGATGTTATGTAAAGCACCTGGCACACCTTGGGGGCATTGTAAATAAACGTATTATCCCATTGAATCAGATAGCCACAGGGAACTCAAAACCATGATTGCAAGCTGGCTGCCACGCCTGGTACTCAGGTATGTCTTTGTTTGGTTTATACTGTGCTTTAAATAAAAGTGAACTTGTGAAAATTGGGAGAGCTCACATAAATATCTGGATTTCTAGTTTCTCTTGAGATGCCAAATTCTTTAGAAGTGCTGGACCCGTGTTCCCACCTGGCTTCCACTAGTAGGAGCTGAGGGGCAGCTGTCAAGAAGATGAGTGCCTGCCACTTCCTCTTGTCGTTTGTTTTTTGTGAGCAACTACTTTGTCCCAGGCACTATTCAGAGCAATAGAAATTGAAATTAATTCTCCTCCTCCTCCATCACCATCAAAGCAAACTCTTGGCACCTGCTATGTGTCAGGCATTAAAATGTATTAACTCTTTAGTGTCTGCAACTCTAAGAAGTGGATACTCGTTTTACAGATGAGGAAACTGAGGCACAGAGAGGCTAAGTAACTTGTCTGAGATGACAGTGAAGCGACAGCCAGAATTTGAACCTAAGTAGTCTGACTCCAAAGTCTGTTTTCCTAATCAGTACACTGTACTGTTTCTCATGTAATTATTACACCCCTATTAGGCTACGAGCCCATTTCACGGATGTGGAAGTTGAGGCTTGGGGAGTTGAGTAACCAGCTTAAAGTCATACAATTTGTGGCAGGGCCAGGAATCAGACCCAGGCACTCTGGCTCCAGAGTCCTCACGTCTAAAGTCAATAATCACTTTCTGCAAAGATCTTAGTTTGCAGACCCCAGATGTCCATCCCGCACAGTGGTGGCACCCACAAACACATTGTCTGTCTCCTTTTTGTGACTTGGAGCTGTCTGTATCCTTTACTGCCCTGGGGCAATCTGAGGCCAAGGCTCAGGCTTTGGGGGTGAGCAATGGGGCAGAAAGAGGTTGCTTCCAAATTCAGAGCAGGCAGGGGGCTGGCAGGGTCAGGTCTCTCTCTCTCTCTCTCTCTCTCTCTCTCTCTCTCTCTCTCTCTCTCTCTCTCTCTCTCTCTCTCCCCCTCCCTCCCTCCCTCCCTCTCTCCACTCCCCCCCCACACACACGTTTCTTTCTCTTTATTGTTGACATGGGCGGTGAGCTCCAGGACTCTGCAGGAGACATTCCACCCTAGTTGTGGCCTCGAGTGCCAGACTCAGCTGCCCTTCCTGCCTGGCCTCTGGTCGCCCTCCTCCTGGGCCCTTCCTTCTGTTACAGAGTGAATGTTACTGAGTGACTACAAGGGTCCAGGTCCAAGGAGAACCCCAGTAGCCATGAGCCATGAGGCCTACACTCGGGGGGGTTCTGGGGTGAGGGGATCGTGGACCCCAACAGCCCCCCGGTGGCTCCCATTGCATTTCTGGCTCTGCCTCCTACCAGTTGTAAGTCTCTGGTTTAGGGACCTAACCTCCTGGGGGCTCATTTGCCTCTTCTGTTAAATGGAATAATTATGCCACCAACCTCATAGAGTTGATGGGAGGATAAAATGAATTAAAATATGGAGAGGACTTGGTGTTTTAAAAAAGTATAGAGTAAGATCTAAATTCCTTCCCTTTGGCCAAGTAGCCTCTACTTTTTTTTTTTTTAATTTATTTTTGGCTGCACTGGGTCTTCGCTGCTGCACACGGGCTTTCTCTAGTTGTGGTGAGCAGGGGCTACACTTCATTGCGGTGCACGGGCTTCTCATTGCAGTGGCTTCTCTTGTTGCAGAGCACGGGCTCTAGGTGCACGGGCTTCAGTAGTTGTGGCATGTGGGCTCAGTAGTTGTGGCTCATGGGCTCTAGAGCACAGGCTCAGTAGTTGCGGCGCACGGGCTTAGTTGCTCCGCAGCATGTGGGATCTTCCTGGACCAGGGCTCGAACCCATGTCCCCTGCATTGGCAGGCGGATTCTTAACCACTGCGCCACCAGGGAAGTCCCCAAGTGGGCTCTACTTGCCTGTCCCCGCCAGCCTCTCAGACTCATCTCTACCCCATCACCTCTGCTCACTGGACCCAGCCCCTGGCCTTATTTCTTTTGCTCTAACTCATAAGCGTGATTCTGCCATCAGGGCCTTTGCACTTGCTGTTCCTCTGCCTGGACCAGGCTTCCCCCCATCTCTGCAGGACCATCCCCTCATCCTTCAGTTCTCATCAGAGAAGTCTTTCCTATCAAAAGTAATCATTTTTTCATTCATTCATTCATTCAACAAATGTTCACTCAAACACGTGTCCGTTCATTGTTTTAAGTACTAGGAAGACAACACAAAACCCCTGCCTCTTGGAGCCCTGCCTAGGGTGCTGGCAGGGCAAGAGTCTGATGACAACAATAGATATATAGCATGTTTTATACACACACACAAAATATATACATATATCAAAATATATAGCATGCTGGATGGTGATATGTACTAAGGGGGGAAAGCAGGGTGGGATGCGAAATGCAGTGATATGGGGTTGCAGTTTTTGTTAGGGTGGCTAGAAATGATGTCACTGGGAAGGTAACACTTGAATAAAGACCTGAAGGAGGTGTGGGCGGGCTCTTCTTGGTCACAGGGAAGAAGAGCCTTAGGAGCAGAGAAGATAGCAAATGCAAAGGTCCTGAGGCAGCAGCGGTTCCAGAGCACTGAGAAGCAATAGGAAGGCTGGTGTGGCTGGAGCCCAGTGAGCAAGGGGCCAGTGACGGGGAGCTGAGGTCAGAGAGATACCCAGGGTCAGACCATGCTGGACTTTGTGAGCCATTGGAGGGACTTGGCTTCTACCCTGAGTGAGATGGGAGCCGTGGTGGAGGGTTGTGGTTGGGACCAGATGAGGGACAATCTGGTCTACAGATTGACAGGCTCCCTCAGGCTGCACATGAGAACGGACTGCGGGTGGGGACAGAATGGGAGCCCGGGTAGCAACGAAGGCGTTACAATAACCCAAGTGAGAGGCCAAGGTGGCTTAGATGGGGTGGTAGTGATGGAGTGGTGAGAACAGGCCAGATTCTGGATCAGGTTTGAGGGGAGAGCCAACAGAACATTCAGCCACAGTATTTGGTTTGTTTAATATTTTCTTCATATTCCCACTCTCTGCTGGAAGTTATGTGTTTATTCACTTGCTGTTTGTCTGCCTCCCCACCAGAATGTAAGTTCTCTGAAGGCAGATCTTGCCCACTTTATGCCTACGTATCTTGACCACTGAGAACAAGGTATGATGCATAGTAGGTACTTAAGAAATAGTTGTCGATAGAAAACAAAATTATGGTTACCAAAGGGGGAGGGGGGTGGGGATAAATTAGGAGCTTGGAATTAACTGATACACACTACTGTATATAAAATACATAAATAACAAGGACCTACTGTATAGCACAGAGAACTATACTCAATATCTTATAACAACCTATAATGGAAAAGAGTCTGAGGAAGAATATATATATATGAATCACTTTGCTGTACACCTGAAACACTGTAAGTCAACTATACTTCAATTTTTAAAAATGATACTTGCCATATTAAAAAAAAAAAAGAAATACTTGTGGAAGGAATGAAGACAGAAGACAGAGCACTCTGCAGGACTATAGGACAGGGTGATGGAATGAGTGCTACCCGCTGTGAGCCCCCTGTGGTACGACATCTCACAGCCTTAATACATGCTGTGTCCCCTGCCTGCAGCACC